AGCTCTACACCTTGCTATCTCAGATTCTCCAGCATCTGCAGTTCCTACTATCTCTAGTACAAGGAAGTAGTCTCTTTCAGGGTGGCACTGTAACTCAGTGGTTAGCACTGTTGCCTCACTGTACCAGGGACTTAGGTTCAAGTCCTGCCTCAGGTGACTGTCTGTGTGGAGTATGTACTTTCTCCCTGTGTCTGCATGGGTTTCCTCTGGGTGCTCCAGTTTCCTCCCACAGTCCAAAGATGAGCAGGTTAGGTGGATGGGCCATGAGAAATGCAGAGTTACAGGGATTGGGTAGGGGGATGAGTCTGGGTGGGATGCTCTCTTCGGAGAGTCAGTGTGGACTTGTTGGACCAAATAACCAGTTCCCACACTGTAGGGATTCTATTACAAGAAGTGGTAAGCAGAAAGTGGGGAGAGGTCGAGAGACCAACAGGTCAAGCAGAGGCAGAGGTAGAGACAGGGAGGAGACTCAGCAAAAATGCAACAGGGTAGAGTAGCCCAAAAATATGTTTAGATTCCAGGAACTTGAGTGAACTTTGGCTCTTAATTCCAGCTGATTAATGGCAGGCATGGCTTTCACCCATTAATTTCTTGTCATAGGCGTTTACCAGTTCTTTGCTGGTAGGCTGGAGCAGCACTACACTTCATTTACCCATCATGAAGAGCACAACTATTAGAGTTAAAAGTCCAGCACTTTAGAGGGTAAACTGCTCTCATCAGTGCATTTGTTTGTGGCTGATCTCATCTAACAGCCCAGGTTTGCTAAGTTATACAGCTTGTCAACTGATGCACGGCGAGTCTGCCTATGTTTTCTTTTAAAGTCAGTATAATCAGTTACACTCTTCAGAGAATTTAATGACGGCCAGTGTGCTGGCCTCACCCACATACAAGCCAGTGTGCAGAGCAGAAATATGTTGTATTCCCAGATTTAAAAGTCTGACATGCTCAGGCTTATGTTCAAAATGTCCCACCAAGGTTGAGTTCATTTTTTATTAAGATTAAATATAGTATCAAGTAACTTGAAAACCTGCCAGTGTCTGATACCAATACTAGACTGAAATTAGTTTTCTGCTAAACGGTGGCTAGAGACAGAACATGGAAAGGAAGTATCATGTTAGATATATCTGAAAGAAGGCAGGGCAGTTTGACAATGCAGAGCGATCAATTTTTTTAAAGTTGCAGTGGCAGCATGGTAACATGTTTCATTGGCTGGCACGGCAGCATTTTACTTTTATGAACACCAAGGGCCGAATATGTTATCCAGCAGTGAAATCTCCACAAAAACCCAAAACAGACCACTGACTAACCCCAGAAGCCCATAACACTACTTACAAAGGCATGGTAATTCCTAGCAACCAGGGACTAAGATGATGCACGTGGAGATAGAGTACTACACCTGATGGAAGTATACAAAATTATGAGAGGATGGATCATCAGAATCTGCTTCCCAGGTGGAAATGTCAAATACCAGAGGGCATAGATTTAAGGTGTGAGCGGGAGAAAGGAGATGTGTGAGGTGTTTTTTTTTGAAAACATAGGGAGCGGTGGGTGCCTGGAACATGCCGCTGGGGAATGTGGTAGAAGCAGAGGCGATAGCAATATTTAAGAGGCACTTAGACACCTGAACGGGCAGAGAGTACAGGGATACTAACCAGGTGCAGACAAATGGGATTAGTTTAAAATGGCTGTTTTTCTGTGGTTTGGAGAGTTCACAGGAAATTTTATCTTTTTTTACAAAATTGCAAAAAACATTCCACCAATCCTCAAACTAACAACCTTTTTAAAAAAGATTGAAAATTCAATATTAACAATACTTTTATGATGACAGGAAAAGTTAATAATAGATTTGCACTAAATTGTATATCATACCATTTGTGAAAAATGTTGCACATCGAAGTTGTATTTCAGCCAAATACAAATTTATTAAACAGGTTCAGTCTAGTTTGCAAATTTCATTTAGACATGACATGAATAGATCATTCTGAAATACCAGAATCGCAATGAACTGCAAATTATTTCTCCCACATTAACATACTGCTAAAACTGTGCTGAAACAATTTTGGCTCACTTCATAAACTCTAAATAAGTACTTGAACATTGCAAGGGATAATCCAATTTAAAAGTTCATGCTACAGTCATCACAAAGTGATATCAAGATAGATAAGTGCCACAATTGATTCCTGATTGGAATCAGCTAATTTCAGACACTGCAGTGGCACTAACGTCATCATACAACTATTTTATACAGCACTGTAGAAAACACTTCACATAAGTTGCTATTGACTAAATCAGATTTTGATGCTTTTTACTGGCTATAAATAAGATGAAATTCATGATATTGCTTCCAAAGAACATTTAGTATAAGGATACAATAGCACCATTTCTTTCATATCAATTGAAGTAACTTGTCACTGTTTGCTGATGCACCACAAAAATCAAGTCCTAAAGCCAAGTCCTGTGGGACTACAGAACAGTGATTCTTCAACAGCTTTGGTTAAAAAGGACCCTATTCCAAATGGATTAGGAATGACGAATTACCTACCCTACCACCACCCAAGCAATTTATAGCTCTGATTTAACTTCCTTGACAAATATTACACTCGTAAGTCTAAATATATATTATGACCCTAAGTGGCATTTGGAATGAAGTTTTGCAGGGGCAGTCCAATGTAGTCAACATTGACGTGATGTGCTTGATGCAAAAACTATTAACTTCCCTTCAACTGAGAGGTAACCCTATAGGTTCAGCAACATGCCTGTGGAATATTCCAACCACAACACCAGTCTGTTCTTTGTGAAAAAGAGGATTGGGCTAGGTGATTCCTGTTGGAAAATTGCCACGACTTCAAGTGTAACCTGCTGTAATATAAAGGGTTAAGTTTCTCTGAGATATGCTAATAACATAGTCTCCATCTTGGAAGTGATGCAATGTTACATGATTTTGCTGTCTTGCAGCCTCAACAAAAGATGAAGCTACGCTAAGTTGTTTCTTAAATCAAATGAATGTTTTGCTTACCTCAGCAGACTCTAAATATTCTTCAGCAGCACAAGAGCAAGATTATTATATGGTGACAGTGAACGAAAGAATATAGAAAGCTCTCCTAAGCAGGTTTCATGTGTCAATCAAGCTGATGCATGGGGTGAATTGATGCTGAAGATTTTCAAGGTATCATTGCATCCAGCCTTGCTGCAAAGCCAGGTATAGAGCAAGTCAGTATGATATTGTACACAATGGGTGGTCGTGCAGAAGATATCCTTATCAAGTAGCGATCCGAGAGTGAATGAAGTAAAAAAACGCCCTCGATGTCTACTTCAATCTGCAAACAAAGAAAAAAAACAAAGATTCATTGAATAGGCTAAATTTAATAAGTATACAGCAATGGCAAGGGGAAAAGATTAATACTTTTAACTGATCTTCTGTACAGATGTGTAGAATTGGAGTATGGCACCTGAGAAGAATTAATCAGGATAGAATTGTTATCAGAGTGTTACATGATGCATCGTCTGACAATTTGAGGTTGAAGGAAGGTTGACTCAACATCGTCAAAGGCAAAAATCATCTGAGCAGACAAGGCGAGTTGAGGAAACAGAAAAAAAAAAATCAGCAATTCAGGGTGACAGGGTGAACCATAATCCAAAAACAAACAAACAAACAACTTCACGCATATGTTAAATTAAAAAGCAAAGAAGTGGACATTCAGAAACAGGAGAAGCAGGAAGAGCATGCATCATCTTTGCCACTGTTAAACTGGCATAGTCACAGCAAAAACTTTACAGATTAAGCTGAAAGAGAAGTCTCAAAAGATGGCAAGATCCATGAGATAGAAGATATCAATGATAGTGAAACATCTATCCTTGGAACCAAGTGGAAGGTTCTTGGAGTGCAGATATCCAAACTTGGAGAAACAAGACTTAACTTTGGGTAGGCACAAGTGAAGCAGTTTCAGTTCTTTCTGCTGTTGAACCATGGCTGAAGAATAGTTTTCAGCTACTGTGCAGACCAAGGTAGGATGAGAACTGAAGGTAATTGGACAACTGAATCTAATCCTTCAATATTCAGAAAGACAGAAATGTCACAAATCTACCTGCACTTCCAAAAAAGTGTTGTTCACTCTTAAGTTTCACACGAAGGGTTGTGCCAACTTGCACCCTTGCAGAGTAGAAGAACTGGAAAGCCAAGAAGATCAGCATAAAAAGTTCAAAGTTGACTTTCCACAAATGTTCACAAGACTAGGAAAACTGCAGACAGAACACCAAATATATCCTGAAGCCAGGGTCAAAAATTACACGACATCAGGTGATAGTCCAACAGGTTTAATTGAACACACAGCTTTTGGACCGTTGCCCCTTCCTCAGGTGTAATGAGAGAGGAAGCATCAAGACACAGAATTTATAAGAGATCAAAGGATTATATGACTGGTGCAAATGTATTTAATAACCCTAAATTGGCTGGCTAACTTCCTCCTGTTAAATCCTTAATCAGTTAAAAAGGTGATGCAGGTTTCGATTGATTAGTATGCAACTCTCAATTTCTTTCAAGTCAATGTCCCGAGATAACTAACGGTTTTATCAATGAATACAAAAGGTGATATCTCAGGTCAGACAATGCCTTTTGGTGTGAGGCCTTGTTTAGAAACTCTGTGTTTTAATGTGGAATCCGACTGGTTTTATTTCCAAAGCAGGAATTTAGAAAATGCGCCGCTGAGTGTGTCCACAAATTGTGTGCTTTTTGAGCAAAATAGAGTGTATCTGCAAATACAAATTCACCCCATAGGGGTGTGTTTCTGTGTGTAACGAACTTGGCTATCTGCCTCATGGGTACCGAACTTGGCTATCAGTCTCTGCTCACCAGCTCTGTGTTGTTGTGTATCCCGAAGTCCGCCTTGGAGGACATTAACCTGAAGATCCGAGGCCGAATGCGCTTGACTGCTGAAGTGTTCCCCCAATGGAAGGTGGCATTCCTATCTGGTTATTGTCGCGCAGTTTCCCTTCATCCATTGTCATAGCGTCTGCACGGTCTCACCACTATACCATGTCCCAGAGCTTCCTTGCCTGCAGCGTATGAGATAGACGTTAGCCAAGTCACATGAGTATCTGCCGTACGCGTGGTGAGTGGTGTTCCTACATGTGGTGGTTGTTTCCATGGTGATGATCTGACATGTCTTGCAGAGGTTGCCATGGCAGGGTTGGGTGGTGTTGTGGTCGATGTTGTCCTGAAGGCTGGGTAGTTTGCTTCGCACAATGATCTGTTTAAGGTTTGGCGGGTGTTTGAAGGTGAGAAGTGGAGGCATAGGGAAGATCTTGGCGAGGTGCTCATCATCATTGATAATGTGTTGAAGAACATGGCGTAGTTTCTCTGCTCCCAGGAAGTAGTGTACAACGAAGGATACCCTATCAGTCATATCCCGTGTCTGTCTTCTGAGGAGGTAATTACGGTTTTTCGCTGTGGCACATTGTTTGCCAGTTCCAATGAGTTGAGCTTCGTATCCTGTTCCTATGAGGGCGTCCTTTAACACCTTCAGGTGTCCATCTCGTTTCTCCTCATCTGAGCAGATCCTGTGTCTGCGCAAGGCTTGTCTGTATGGGATGGCTTTTTTAATAATATGTTTAGGGTGGAAGCTAGAGAACTGCAGCATTAAGGTTATCCGTGGGCTTGCAGTAGAATGAGCTATTGAGGTGTTTGTCCTTGATGGAGATGCATGTGTCCAAGAATGAGACTGATTCTAAAGCATAGTCTGTGGTAAGTCTGATGGTGGGCAGAAACTTGTTGAAATCGCTATGTAGTTGTTTCAGTAATTCCTCACCAGGAGTCCAAAGGAAGAAAATTTTGTCAATGTATCTGGTGTATGGCATTGGTTAGAGGTCCTGTGCAGCAATATAGTCTTGTTCGAACATGTGCATGAAAATGTTGGCATATTGGGTATGAATCTGGCCCCCATGGCTGTTTCATGTGTCTGGATGAAGAACTGGTTGTCAAAAGGTTATTGAGGATGAAGCGAGATGAATTGTAGGATGGTGTCGGGAAATTGACAAATGTTGGTATTCAGTACTGAAACTGTTGCGGCGATGCTGTCGTCATGGGGGATGCTGGTGTAGAGTGTCAAAACATCCATTGTGACAAGGAATGTTCCTGGCTCGACTGGTCCATGGGTGCTGAGTTTCAGTAAGAAATCTGCAGTGTCACGACAGAAGCTGGGTGTTCTTTGTACAATGGGTTTCAAGATGCCCCCTCGACATAGCCAAAGAGATTCTCACACAGGGTCCCATTGCCTGACATGATGGGACGTCTGGGTGCGTCGGTTTTGTGTATCTTCGTAAGTAGAGAAGTACATGGGATGAGAGTGCATAGGGTATTCTGAAAGACCGGATCGAAAGTCTTGGCCAATCTGTTGAGTTCACGGGTGTGTTCCTTGGTCAGATCGGCAGGTAGTTGTCTGTTGTGTTCTTGGTTGTTCAGCTGTCGGTACACTTCTTTGCAGTAGTCCGTTCTATTCTTTATGACGATGGCTCCTCGTTTTTTTGCTGATTTGATGACAATGTTGTGATTGGTCTTGAGAGCACGGATGGCAGTGCGTTGTGCCTGGGTAACGTTTTGCACTACCTCGTGAGTGTGGCTGATGAATCTGGCGTTCACGCATTTCCTGATGGTTTGAGCATACATGTCGACACTAGGGCAGTGGCCTTCCGCAGGGGTCCAATTCAGCTCCTTCTTTGGTCGCTCCACCATGGATCTCTCTGTCAACTGCTCCGGTTCATTGGTTGTCTCATTGGGCTCACTGGTGACATCTTAGAAGGATTCCCGGAGTCTCATTTGTCTGATGAATTCCTCTGTGTTTGCCACGAGATCAGTGGGGTCCATTCTGGTGGTGGGGCAGAAATTGAGCCCTCAGCTGAGAACATCGATTTCGTCCATTGGAAAGGTGTGGTCAGATAGGTTGACGATGGATTTCCCCCTGGTGTACCGTTTTCAACCGTGATACTGGGGAGACTTGGTTACTGTTGGTGGTGATGGCAAGTTTCTCCAGTTTCTTGTTCTTGGTGTGCGTATAGGTGGTGTAGTTCCGTTGCCTCGTCTGTTTGACAGTGTCTTGTAACTGTTCTGCTGTATCTGGAGCGCAAGCCGAAAATATGGACTCTATCTCAATTTCAAGGTTGCAGCAGATTTTGGGATACACAACAACAGAGTCACTCAGCAGAGGCTGATAGCCAAGTTCGGTACCCATGAGAGCAGCCTCAACCATGATCTTGGTTTCATTTCACACTACAGGTGACCCCACTACATTGTACAATCTCTCTCTCGCTTACACTCATGCACACACACACGCGCACACACACACACGCGCACACACACACACACGCCCCACCCCATAGATTTGTATTTGCAGGTACATTCTATTTTGTTCAAAAAGCACACAATTTGTGGACACACTCAGTGGGGAATTTTCCAAATTCCTGCTTTGAAAATAAAACTAAATGCAAATGCAAATTTTTGCAACTTAACTGTAAAGATCCTTGGGCATATTGTGCATGCACCTAGTGTCAGAGTTAATCTAGAGATGGCAAAGAAAAATCCAAAAGCTTCTCATTCCTCAATGTGGCTGAGCTCCAGAGACTCTTGGGTATAGTAAACTAAGTTGGAATGCTCTTGCCCATCCCAAATACGTGCTTACAGAAGATATTTAACATTTGAGTTGAACAGCTCATTATTGCTGGTTGATTAAATTTGTGTCAACAAGCCACTACATTAACTGCTCCGACAAGAAATGCATGGTGTTGGTTGGGAGGCACAACACAGATGTGTTTTTTTTAAATCAGAACGATCTGGTGATAAAGTGCCTTGGGAAAGCAGCCAAACAAAATCAAGGACCCCTCCTACACCAGTTATACTCTCTCCCACTGGAAAACAGATACAATAGTTTGAAAACACACACCAACAGATTCAAGAACAGCTTCTTCCCCGCTGTTATCAGACTTATGAAGGGATCCCTCATATATTAGAGTTGATCTTTCCCAACATCTTCTCTGTAGCTGTAACATTACATTCAAGTATCCTGTTCATTTACCCTGATGTACTTGTGTGAGGTGTGATTTGTCTGGTTAGCATGCAAAACAATACTTTTCACTGTTTCTTGGTACACATAACAATAATAAATCATCTATCATCTGGATGTTTAAACACATTGTAACCCACAGCTGCCCACTATCATTGCTGCTGATGCTTCTCCTACAGAAAAGGGAGATGTACTGATTCTTATACAAATGGATAGAGAGAGTGTAGATCAGTTCACTATGTGATTCACTCAATGTCAGAGACTGATCAAAGATACGCCGTCGATAAGGAAAGTAGTATTAGCAGCTGCATTGAAACATTACAGATTATGTCCTTCATCTAGACTACAAAAACTTGTGACATTCTTAAATTCTGAGTTCGCAAAAACATCTCCACAAAATCAGCCAAGGGATGACTGCTATGATGGAAAGACAGAGCATGTTCCTGGAAGAGGCACACTGCAGCAGATACTTTGTCCCCGAAAACAACAAATGCTGGAGATTATAGCAAGTCAGACAGCATCCATGGAGAGACATTTCAAGTCAAGATAGCTCTTCATCTGATGAACTGTCATCTCGACTCAAAATGTTCGCTCGCTGTCTCACTCGCTGTGATCTCCAGCATTTGTTGTTTTCAGTACAGATTACAGCTTCTGCAGTAATTTGCTCCTATACTTTGTCCCTTCTCCATGTAGCAAGGCTTGATCAAGAGGATGTCATTTTTCCTGAATCACAGAATTGTGATGATTTAGAAGGAGGCCATTCAGCCCATCGTGCTCATAGTAGAAGCGTTGGAAACCTTTACATCAATGACAAGCCCAATTTTACCATCCAGCGAGGCAGGGAAAGCTGACAAAGAATGCACTTGGGTCAGACAGTACAGCAAAGGACGACCGACAGAAATGCTACACAATCCCATTCTCAGATTGTACAATGAACAGTAAGGACACCTCAGCGTGGTAGATGATTTACTCGTTTATGACCAGAGATTGGTCATTCTGAAGGTTGATATATTGGATCAAGGACATCTTTAACAGCACAATGAGACCAAGAATATTATATTTTTGAAATTATTAATTAGTGGATCAGGAACAGGGACTGAATAAAACAAAATATCCATCTGAGGATGGAAAAGGAATTGGGGGTATCACACTGTAGATGCCCTAACTATAATCTTTCAGTGTTCCCTAGATACAGGAGACATCCCTTTGGGTTGGAAAATTGCATGTCATTCTGCTTTTTAAGAAGGACGAAAGAGGAAAACCAGTCAACTAAATCTGTTGTGGGGAAATTGTTGGAGTCAATAATTAAGGATAGGATAACTGAACACCTTGAAATTTTAAGGTTAAATTGGAGACAGCCAGCACAGATTTGTGATAGGTAGACTGACAAACTTCAATGAATGTTTTGAAGAGGTGGCTAAGGTAATGGATAGGGGAATGCCTACAGATCTCATTTATTTGGACTTCTGGAAGGTATTTGATAAAATCCTACATTTGAGACTGTCAACTAAGGCAGAAGCCCACAGAAGTGAGGACATGGCTAGGAAATTGGCAGGCAACAAAATATAGGGATAATGGATAGGAACTGAAATTGGCAAGATGTGATTAGTGGTGGCCCACAGGAATCTGTGCTAGAACCTCAATTATTTACGTTATTTATTAAAGACTGGGATAATAGCACAAAAAGTCACATGTCCAAATTTGCTGATGACAAAGTTAGGCAGCATTGTAATTTTATGCTATCATTTACACTATCTACGAAGGGATATTTATTGACAGACTAGAAATCCCAGGTTTGATGCCACTTGGAGTACTATGAGCAAATTTGGGCACCACTCTCTAGGAAGGATATATTGGTCTTAGAGGGAATACAAGATAGATTTACAAGAATGATACCTGGACTTCAAATGATGAGGAGAGATTATGCAAAGTAGGCCTGCTTTCTCAAGAATTTAGAAGGTTATGAAGTGATCTGATTGAAATATTCAAGATATTAACAGGAAAAACTGTTTACACTGGTTGAGGATTCTAGAACAGAGGGCATAGTCTGCAAATTAGGGCTAGACTTTTCAGGACAGATGTTAGGATGCACTTCTCCACACAAAGGGTGGTAGATATTTGAAACTTTCCTCCATAAATGGCAATACATGCTGGTTCAGTTGTTAATTTTAAATCTGAGATAGATAATTTTTTGTTAGGCAAAGGTATTAAGGGATAAGGGCCAAAGGCAGGTATATGGAGTTAAACCACAGATGAGCCATGATTGCATCAAATGGTGGAACAGGCTCAAGGGGCAGAATGGCCTACTCAAGTTCCTATATATCCTAAAAATATGATTATACTTCTGCAATCAAAAATGCAGTTTCCAATAGTAAGTCCAGACTCCAAAAATGTGAAGCCCAGTCCTTTTTTGTACATGGCTGAGAAAGTGTGTCCACAGACAAGAATTTGAACAAATCGCAGTGGTATGAAACTTTGAACAGGTTGATTAGAAAATATAGGTTAAACTTGGAAGCTGTAGTTGTGGGTTTTGGGTGACCAACTGCTTGATATCGGCTGGGGTCAAAACTTAACAATTATCTACCAACTGCATAACACACAGGAGTTAAACAAGAGCTGTGTGTGGTAGGCGGGGACAATTGTGCAGCCGGAAACAAAGCTAGTCCCAAGTTTCACTTTCCAATCCCCTGTCACTTCTCTCAAACAACGACAGGGTCAAATACATACCGTAGGTAATAAAATTGGGTTATGTGACCTCAATACCTTTTGTTCCAATTTCACTTTTCCGCAGGAAATCTCACGATTCTGCTACACGTTTTACAACCAGTACACAGATGAATGTGAACCATTCCCGGACTGGTTAAACACCTTTTGGAAAACGCAAATGAGAACGTCACAATAATACAACTGATCTCAGTCTCGGTGCGAAACTGTCTAAAACTCTCCGCTTCCTTCTTTTAAAAAAAAAATCCCCTTTAGAAGCTCTACGAATTTAAACAACCAGCAATAATGCGCTCAAACGTGAAACGTCTTCTCTAAATACATATTTGGGAAGTTTGGTATTGATCGGGATTTCTTAAACTCTGTTGTTACACTCACCTGTAAAATCACCAGGAAAATGTTTGGACGTCAGATGAAGAACACAAAATAACCCACAGCAACTCGTATCAAACTTAACATGCAAAGATAGATCTTGCTGAAATTGTCACTTCCCGTTCAGCATGTGATACAGACAAGTCCAACCTCCAGATGTTCATTGGCAGAAAGGAATGACTGTCTTTGTTACCAGTCCTGTTTGGTTGAACGTTCTCGCATTGCTTGGTAACAAATTAGGAGAAATTGTCACATTGTTTGGTACGTGTCGTAGACTCATACAGTATACAAACAAGCCCTTCGGCCCATCATGCCTATGCCGACCAACAAACATCAAACTACGCTAATTCCATTTACCTCAGTCTTTTAAAAATTGAGATTGTCGTTAATAACTTATCTACATTGAATATGGATACAAACCGCATTTAATTCATTGTAGACAAACAAGCCGCATCTCTTTCTCCACAGATGCTGCCGGACTGGTGAGTTTGTCCCGCATTTTTCTCTTTGTTACAGAAACAGACCATACAGTACAACTGAATCAGAGACAGTAGGAACTGCAGATGCTGGAGAATCCGAGACAACAAGGTGCAGAGCTGGATGAACACAGCAGGCCAAGCAGCATCATTGGAGCAGAAAGGCTGATGTACAACTGGTCTACATTGGTGTTTATGCTGCGCATGAACCTCCAACACCTCATTTTGCCTTAGCTGTACCTTTCACTTCTATACCTTTCATACTTCTATCCCTGTCCAAATGCTAAAGAAACATATAAGCCATGATCAAATGGTGACTTGATGGGCTGAATGGCACGTTCCTATCTCTTATGGTCTATTCACTACAGCTACTCATGATTACATTCTTTATTCACGTTGGTCAAAATTCCAAAAAAAGGAACTTGCATGTATGTAGTGCCGCATAACTTCAAGCCAGCAGATAGAGTATTTTTAAAGTCTAGTTGCTAATATAATGTAGGAAACATAGCAATTATTTTTTGCACTGCATGATCTATAATGTATGAAAAGACCAGTTTTTTTAAGGTTTGGTTGGGGAAATTAATGAATTTAGTGGGATGCAAAATTTTGATTTCCCTCAGGTGGAATGAAATGCAGAGATAAGTTCACTGTTGTGTTGGGCCTCACACTGGCCTGTGGTAGGCTTGTAATTGTTATACATTTGCATACCATGAATGCTTAATAATGTAAAGCTATTTTAAAATAAAATCCTACCTTCAAGATTAAGTTGTACATCGTTCAGTATTGTGTACCTGTGAGTTTTGTGCAGTTGTATCTGAGGTCAGAGGTTTTCCTTGTTTAACTTCACAGCACGATTGAGGTGAGTAGGAGAATAACCGTTTACGTGGAAACTTAGCACCAGCAAAGAGGGCTAGCTGAGGGCAGACAGAAATAACTCCACAGAGGCCAGTATCCCGTCACCAAGTCACCCTTTATTTACACATCAACAGTCTTTGACTCTAGTCCTTTGTCTTCAGAGTCAGCTCCCAGAGTGGCAGTATTTCTGACACTCCCTTTTATCTGTCAGCCAGGGCTCCCCTATTGAATCAGATTAACAGCCCCAATTCGATATGGTCCAGCTGGCTGACCTCCTGCAATCACTAAGTCCCTCCCCATCTGATTCTGAGGACATAGGCAGGTCCTTTATCTTGGAGAGCCTCCTGGGACCTTTTATCACAGGGTCAGGTTCCTCTTTCTCTGCCTCCAATCTGAGCGACATGTACCACACGGGAGCACGCCTCTTGTGCCAGAAGCACCTCGGTAGAATTTCACTCTTCTTCCGGCAGCAAAGGCATGGAGGTGGTTATATCCAGCCTGTCTAATTCTGAGGACTTGTTAATGCTTGATGGGGAGGGTGAATTCACAGATTCTGGTGTTCTCTCTGACTCTTCCAAGGGGTAGGGCACATCTGCACTGTTGGCAAATTTGCAGCCTTCATATGGTCCACGTGCTTGTTCAGGACTGTGGCACCTACCTGAACTTTATACGTCACTGGTCCTGATCTCACATCAACTATGCCTGTTACCCATTGTGAGGCCATTTCTGTGATTCTTACACCAAACCTCATCCCCTGTATCAAACTGTCTCTTTCACTTGGTGGAGTCTTGTGTCCAGCATTTGGGTTCCTGATGCTGTTTCACTAACCGCTCCCCCCCCCACGCCCCCACCCCAACCAGATCAGGGAAGATCGGACTTACTCTGGGGCTGAGTCTTCCACCCATTAGCAACTTTGCTGGTGCTATCCCTGTAGTTGCATGGAGGGTAGTCCTATAATCAAATAAGAACGGCGACAGTTTGGTATTTACTGAGGCTGTAGCCTGTTTCTTCAAGCCAGCCTTCAAAATTTTAGTTGCTGTTTCTGCCAGGTCATTGGATGATTGGTGAAATGGAGCTGTTCTCATATGTCGAATCCTATTTGACTTTAGGAAACACCCAAATTCCCCACTGGTAAACCTGTTATCTGTGACCAACACTTCTGGGACTCTGTGCATTGACAGTTTTTCTATCATTGTCCCCATGTTTGACAAATGGACCCTATACACATCCAATCACTTTAAGTGGGCATCTACAATGACTAAGAACATTGGGCCCATGAAAAGATAATTGATGTGTAACCGAGATAGTAGGAACTGCAGATGCTGCAGAATCTGA